TTAAAGAAAATTGGACTGTTCTGCTTTTTCCCTCCTTGTGTACATGATTTAAGGTTAGATTTCTATCCTTGTTGTGCATCCTGGCTGACAGACTCTTTCAGTGGTATGCTCTGAGCTTCCGGAACATTTTATACAAAGATTGCCTTCTCTGTCTGCCCACCAGCTCTAGGATTTTTAACCACCTCAAATCCAGGCCATGTGAATTAGTCAAGTCTTGTTTGAGAAGACATGTAGGATGTTTCATTGGAGGTCTTGAGGCAGAACCCTCCCGCTTACAATGATCTTGGACCAAAGAATGCTAAAGTGTCAGGAGGTTGAGGGGAATTAATAGTCTCAGCCTCTCCTCACCTTTATTTCTCTCATAAATTTTAATTGTAAGATTGGAAGATACAGAGAGCTGTATACAACCATGTCGATAGGGTATAATTAACCCAGGTAATTTGGGAATAAAATTTGGCTTATATTTGCTATATCCAGATGCCCAGACTTAACATCTTGGTTCTCCAGCAAAGAACGTGCTGCTTTAACCTTGCCCTCTCACTGGGACAAACTTTCTACCTACCAGAAACTACCATTTGAGGCAAGGGAGTTTTCTGCGTGAAGGGCTTCTGCAGCACCGCCCCCGCCACCACCACCCCCAGTGCCCTCCCAAGGCAAGTCTACCTATTTTGCCCATTTTTATTCTTAAGAACATCAGTTCTGCATCTCTGAAGCCTTTGATCCTTTGGAAAGTCAGTAAGACCTTCTCAGCTGGGTCTGAGTGAATCTTTGGAGCCCAAGAGAGTTACCCTTAATTTTCAGCAGAGAAAAAAATTGTTGGACAAAATCACGTGTGTGTTAAGAAAATTCCATAATGCGCTTCCTCCGTCTCTGCCTTCTGTGTTTGTTGAGTAACCCCTTAGTAGAGGTTGGTTCATAGGTGTTGAGACTCAGTGCTTCCTCAGCCAGGGTAGTTCACTGCCCTTTTAGGAAAAAGAACCATGAACAACCAAAACTATATCCATTGACATTGTTTATTTTCTGTGTTCTTCAGTGTCTTGTTTTGAAGAATTGGGGTGGGGAAACGGTAGTTGACATTCAAAGTAGAGGAGAGAATCAGTTCTGGAACTGGGGTACTTTGCTTCAGGTACAAGCATCTGTCTTGAATATGTAGAAACAGCTGCCTCACATGTGAGTAGGTTTACTTTCCTCTCCATGTAATGAACTCCATGCCCTTCTTAGTGGCAAGGAGGGCTTCTACTTTCTACACACCTAACCAGTGTCATCCAGATGGCGATTGGCACCACTGAACACCACCAGTGCTTCCCATCGGCTTCTGGGCATGATTTTCACCAGGGCAAGAGCAAGTAGGCAGTAAATGAGAATCCCCACCCCAGGGAGAGATAAGAGAAGAGAGGTGTTCAGACACATACCTGTTCTCTTCTGCCATATCCCCAAGAACCCAGGGAAATCTTTGAAGTGATTTTTTTTCTTTTTTTTAATTAAAGTGGATGAAGAAAGATTTACCCCACTAAGTTTTAGCTTGTCACTGTCTCTTATACTACTTGTTATTCATTCAAATCTGTACTACACTGCTGCTCACATACTTGTATGTGTTTCTTACCTTAGCCTAACCCTTCTCAGCCCCTGAAGTCATTATTCTATTTTGTGTTTTCTTTTTTTTATGGCACTAGCGAATGAGAACCTAAAGTCTTAGAAAATCCTAACTTGAAAAGGAGTCTCTAACTGGCATGGTTTGATTAATTACTTTACCTTTTCCCCCTAAAGACTTGAATGATTTTCTTCCCTAGTGCTATATAATAGATCTGTAATAAGTGAAACCTTTGCTGCTACTTTTCTGGGTTTACATCAGTTTTTTCCTTCCCTTAAAAATAATTTCTTATCTGTGCTTCTCTTATGACTGTTAATTTCTAGTAAGTACAGGAAGAGGTGAACCTGAGATTTCTTCTCTTACTCCCCTCCTCACGCTACCCCCAAATTATACACTAACCTCTAACATATATAAGATCCATGAGATGGGGCTCATCGTAAGATGCTTGTGGGTTTTTTTTCTCATCATGCTGCAGCTCTCAGAGCTGGCCCCTGAGGATCTGTGACTACCCAGTCCGAAGGGTTACTACAGGGAGAGAAAGGCTTTCTTAATTTTGCCTTTCTCCATTCCTGTTTTATGATCACCCTTCAGATGCCTCCCATTCTGGTGGCCTCCTTTTTCCTCCCAGGAATTGTTTCCAAGTAACCTGCCTCGGTCATTTCCCAACTGCTCTCCTCACCTTTGCCCACCTTCCAGTGACCCTGGGAGCACAGACCTGAGAGATGGGGCCTGTGCAGAGCTCAGAGAACTGTGAGGACTGCCCCTGCCTTTCAGACTCTACTTGGGGACAGAGATGGATGGGTAAATGGTGCTGCGGGAGCAATTTTTATCTTCAAACCAGGCTGTTTCGCCCTTTGCACTGCCCCGCCTCCATCCCCACTCCCCTGAGGAAGGGGTAAAGTGCAGAGGATGGTTGACTAGCAGGGTCTGATCCCCAACATTGCTGTCTGGCCTAAGCCTTGTCCAGCCATTCGGCCTGCTCTGGAGTGAGAGCTTCAGTGTGTGGGAGCTGCTGCTTGCTTGTTTCTCCACCAAGCCTGCCCCAACACTTAGCCGGTCCCTGGGGCCAACACAGTTCCCTACATGGTGACTTAACACCAGCCTCCATTAGCTGTCCAAGCGACTGCGTTTCCACCCAGTACTTTTGGCGCTTGAGGATGGGGGGAGGGAGGGAGGGTTATTTAAAATAAATAAAATCCAAGGTGGCAGTAGAGGATTCCTTTTGCTTTAAAAATCTTTGGACTAAAAAAATAAAAAAATTTAAAAAAATGTTTTTTTATATATGAATATATAAAGTAAATTGTTATGTAACTATTATTGTTTCCTGTATGTTCTAATTTTTGGTTTATGATGTAATTAAAGGAAATAAGCTGTGAAGACTTTTCATTTTACTGCGGAAATAGCCTGACTTGGAGCTGTGATTCTTAACTTCCTTGAACCCTTGGTCTGTAAAGGCTCCTGAGGCTGAATGAAGGGGCTTCTTTTTGGCATCTTTATTTTTTTTAATATCCTTTAGTGAGTACCCTTTATTTATTTATTAATTGTTTAATAATCTTTATTTAGTACCTTTTCAATAGCCTTTATTTAATACCCTGCACTCCACTTGCTTCTAAGAAAAACAGAAGACATAATATAAATCAGAGTTTCTAAAAAACTTTTGTCTTAATTTGATAATAACAATTCAACCTGAGTCCCTTATCTGTGCAAAGCATTGCCCTTACCTGGACTAGGAAGGAGTGAGGGAGTGGTGTAATGGTTAAACAAGCTCACTGCACGTGACCTTGGCCAGTTAACCCCTCTGTCTCAGTTCTTTGTTGGTAAAGTGGGGATAACAGTACCTGCTTTAGAGTTGTGAAGATTAAAAGTGATAAGAGTGGCACATAGTAAACGCTCACATGTTACCTGCTTTCATTCGCTTCATTTCAGTATATTTCAGTGTCTAATCTGTGCCAGAGGCTCCTAGGTTGAGAGATGCACAAAGGCTGGTGCCTTTGGTCCCTATCCTTTTGGTGGAGACGAGCAGTGGAGCCGAATCAGCAACCTCGATTTAAATCTCAGGGTATCTACCGTGCCCTGAAACACCTTTGGGGAGCCCTGTGGAATCAGAGGCCTCACTCGAAATCCGCTCATCCTGCATGAGTTAAATGCCTAATCTGGATTGGTCATCTGGGGCCAGCGGGGTCCCACAGTCCCCTCCAGGGGTGCAAGGAAGCAAGCCTGCTTCCTTGTCCGTATTGAGACAGCCTTGGCTTTTGAGGGAGGCAAGTTCGAGGTCTTTGAACTTCAATAAGCAGACTTTCCCTTCCCCTGTGCTTTAATCCTGTTAATTCAGCCAGTGTAGAGCCTTCCTCCTTCCTACCTTCCCTAGCCAGAGGCCACCAGGTTTAGGACTCAACAAAGATGATCAGTAAATGATAAATGGGGTAAATGATTAATAATGGCATCTTGGCCTATCTCCCAGTGCATGCAAATGGGTTTTCTCTTTTCAGTATGTTTGAAATTTTCCATAATAAAAATTTTGAGGGAAGGGGATGAAAAAAGAGGAGTGGAATAAAATATGGCCCCAAATCACTTATCTTTTTTTAAAGTACTTTAATATAAAATTGGTTTTCTACACAGAAAAACATACACAGAGAAAATCACTCTCAGGTAGATTATAGGCCTAAAAGTGAAACACAAAATTAAAGTTTGAACTTTGAAAAATATTCATAGGAAATATTTACCTTAATGTACGGAAAGATTTGTTAAGGCCTAAAAATTAAAAGATTAATTTTAATTCAACTACATTTCTTAAATAAAAAATAATAAAGCCCTATAGCCTCATTGTTCAAGAAGAGAGCTATAGTAATTCCCAAGTCTCTAGAACTGAAGTTTTAAATAAGTGATTTAATAGTTGAATAATCTTCTGGAGGCTTTAGTGGTTAGTTTTTGCCCAAACTAATTGGGAAAAGAATCCAGTCGGATTTATTTATATTTCTGTCCCAGACTCCGTCCCTTGCCCTGGTCTGTAAGTTTAAGCAGGGGACATATCCCCAAGAGGACCATAACACCAAGAGAATTGGACAACACATTGAATATATATATATAATGTCCAGCAGCACTGCTTGGGGCAAAAGCTCCTGTCCATATTGCCAGGGGTTTTTTTGCCTCACAGGCTTGGCCAGCTCAGCTCAGCTCAGCAGGGAAGGCTGTGTCTCAGGGATTCCAACAACTTGCTGTTGAGCAGAAAGAAACGTGAGCCTGGGGGCTGCTTGTCTCCTCCCCAGGGGTAGGACCCATGACGATTTGGCTCTTCACCTGAAGCCTGGTGAAGCCGCTGAGGATGTTAACAAGGCTTCTGGTGAGCACAGGACCCCAGAGAGCCAGGCTGGCACCCGTCTCCTCCTCTTGCAGCAGGGCACCCCTGGGCCTAGGTCAGAACCAGGTAGTAGCCATCTGGATTCTGCACTGAAAGCAGTAAAAAAAAAAAAAAAAAAAAAAAGGCACCACCGGGGTGAGACGGGCCCCAACCACCACTAACTACTGTGCTGCTTCTAAACCTCCAAGCGGCCTGCAGTGCCTCTGCCACACCCAAGTGTTCTTCCTGCCCCACCCTGGATCCAGCTCTTTAGGAAGCCTCCCTGGGTACCGGAGCACAGAGGAGGGATAGAGGGCAGGCATCTGAATAACCAGGACCACAAGCCAGCTGATCAGAAGTGCTCTGCTCCAGGTGGTGTCCAGCAAGCACCTGCCCTTCTGACTTGTATGACTCGGGGGGGGGGGGGGGGGTGCGGGAAGAGGGGTAGAGGCCTTTCCTTCCCTTCTGATAAACTCCCTGAAACTAGGGCATGTCTCCCTCATGAGAATGCGTTTATTCAGTTCCTTCTTCCTGAGCAATAAATGGCTGTCTCTTAGCTGTATGACCCTGTCCCTTTGACACAAAGCTGGTGTTGAGCAGGTGTTTACCCCTTGATTGGGACACAGCACCCGCAACACACCTTCAAGGAACCTTTTAATCTCATTTAGGAGGCAGTATTATAAACTATCTTACCTTTTCTAGGGCCTGTGAGACACACGCCTCTCCCTCTAAAAGCCCTACCTTTCTTCACCACAGCCACAAAGTACGATTCATCCTCAAGATTCTGAACCACCTGCAAGGGAGAGGGGTCACTAAGACGATTCTGTTCTTAGAACCAAACGGAATAAGCTAGGGCAGGGAGAGGGAGACTGGGCCTGGTGTTGGAAGAATGATCCAGGCCTTTGTGGGACCTTGCAGGGAACCGCTGCTGATTTACCTGGTCACTGAGGAGAATGAGGATGCCCCCAGGGCCCTGGTGGAAGAGCCGATGGATCTGATTGGCTGGGAGGTCCAGCAGTTCAGCCAGTTTCCCCATGAGCTCTACAGCACTGAGTTCATCCAGAGAGATCTCTTGATAAAAGCCTGGGGGTGTGGGCAGCACAGGGGCAGGAGTCAGTGGGGGCTGCGGCCCAGAGGGAGCCCCAGATATCAGGAGAAAGGAGAAGACAAGGCGACAGGCTCATTGGGAGGGCCCGGGTCAGGGGAGAAGGAGTAGAGAAGGAAAAAACCTTACAAATCCTCTTCACTTTCACCTCCTATTCCTCACCTTTGGGGAGGCCTAGGCTGAGAGGAACCCCCAGTTTAAAGAAGAGATGGGACACCGTATGATAGAATGACAGAATCAGATGGAGTCAGAGTATAGAGCATGGAGGAATAAACCCAGGGAGTCATCCTGAAAGAAGACTGATCTAGTCATGGAAGATGAGAATGCCAAGGGCATCCTGGGTCCCAGGAATGGTGGAGCATCACCCCTTCCCCAGCCCAGAAGAGGTTTCATGCAACCACACCTGAGTTTCTTGTCCTCTGAAGAGGCCAGAACCTCACCTGAGTCAGGGTTCTTAGGAACCTCGTTCTCTTGCCTAGAGGCCTCCTGAGCGACATATAAGGTCAGCCGGTGACGGATGGGCCTGGGCCAGGAAAATAGTCTACATTCATACCTGAACTAACAGGTCCCAGTTTTAGCCCCCATCCCTGGGAGAAACCCTGCGTCCTCCCAGGTCTCTAGGGATGGGGGGGTCACCAAACTTTTCTTAGGTATTTAGTGAATGCTGGACCCTAGGGGAGAGAAGATGAGAAGAATCCATCTCTGTCCCCAGAAATTGAGTGATGCAGATGGGCTGGCCACAGAAAGAAGTCACAGGAGCCTAACTTTTAAGCCCAATTCTGCTAGCCTTGCTTGCTCTGTGACCTCAGGCAGGTCGCTGTCCTTTGGGCCTGAGTTTCTTCCTTTGTAAAAAGAGAGAAGTGGGGGCTAAGTGGTCTTTCAGGAGCCTTTGGCTTGAACAGTCTATGAAACGTGAGTGTCAGCTGAGTTGGTAAGTGCCACTACAGTGGGAAGGGGACCCTGGTTGGCAGTGCCCAGCACCTGGCTCTTAGAGTATTGAAAAGGCGGATCCCGTCGGCAGCTCCACAGATCTGGATAAGGTCCTGGCGGGTAAGCTTCAGCAGGTCAGTGCCTGCAGAGTCAGACAGGGCTAGATTAGGGGAAGAGAGCCCTGGGATCAAGGGTGGCAAGGGATACAATCCAACATTAGTCTACAAATAGCCCTGGTATGCCCAGACATGGGAACCAGACTTGGATTCAAATCCCACCTCTGCCACTTGCTAACTGTGTGTCCTTGGGTAAGTTATTTAACCTCTCTGAGCCCTGTCCTCAGGGGTAGCGTATAAATTGTATGGGATAATACGCGAGAAGAGAGCCTAGCCAGCATAGTGTGCTTGCCAACACTTAGTTCTACATAGAAGTTAGTTGAAGGTCACACAGCAAGCCAGGACAGAGACAGGCTTCCTGCCCGACTGTCTGCCCTCAGTCCGCTACAGGTCAGGTCCCTACCAGACCCCAGCCTCACCAGTGAAATTGGCCAGCGACCGACAGTAGTTGGAGAACCGGTGCCGATGCAACCACTGCTGTGTCTCTAGGATGGAGGCTCCAGGGTTCAGATCCTGAGGTATAAAGAGAGCGGTCCAGATAACACCGTGGACCCACGGACTGAGAACAAGGTGGAGGGGAAACATGGCCCCTGCCCTTGGAGGTCCCAAGTCTGAGACGGGAGGCTCATCCTGCCGGAGGGAAGTGCCCAGCGCCATCCGCGAACCATTTGACTATCTGTGGCCATACCACATCTCCCCGCCAGGGGGCAGGGCCACCCTATTCTGGAGAGTGAGATGACACTGCTGAGAAGGCTTTGCAATAGGGGATGTGGGAGTGTGGAAAGGAAAGACTCACCTGAGCTGGGCTGCCCCCCAAGGTGTCCGAGGCGAATGGTGGTGAGGAGCAGAGCCTGTGGGGAGCAGGGAGTCAGGCTCAGGGAAACAGTGCGGCCAGTCTCCTGCCCCCCTCATCCTTCCCCAGGTCTGTCCCGGTGTCACCCACGTGTTCCCCAGAAGCTGCCTCAGCTGCACCCTCAGGCCGGCCCCTCCCCCGCTGCCTAGGCTGAGGGGCTCTTCTCTTCATTCTCACCCCCAAGGGCTGACAGAAGGTGCGCGTCCTGCCTCACCTCTCCGCGGACAGGAGCTTGCAGGAGTTGGGGGAGGTCAGAGCAAGAGGGCTCAGAGGCGGGTGGGGTCCCGAACTGGGCTCTGGCCACGGTGAACACTGCAGGTAGACAAGCAGCGAGGTTAGCCTGGACATTCGGGTGTGGGGGGGGGCGGTGGGCAGTGGTGGCTGTTGGCCTGCCTTGGGCCAAACTTGGCCCCTGCCCCAGGAGTCCCTGACAAGTAGATCAAGTTTCCACACAAAGAAGAGAGTAAACTAGCCTGCAGCTCTGTTTGGGGGATTTGGGGAAGGCTTCCTGGAGGAGCTACAGCAGGAAAGGAGGTGCTCCAGGCAGAGGGAGCAGAAGTGAGGGGCGGCCACGGCAGGGCAAGGAGAGGCGGCCGGCAAGGCGTCATCTCCTGGGAGTCTTGAACAACAGGCAGTGCAGTTCGTCCTCGCAGGAAACAGGTGGAATCACTGGGAGGCTGTGATGATCCTGGAGCAGTCGCAGCCCCTGAGGCCTCAGTTTCCCAGCGTATACAACGAGGATCTTTTCTCCAGACCTCCCCTCCCGCCCCCGCACCCAGTACACACACCTCCATGAAGACTGTGCTCTCACAGGCTGTCTGATACTTGTCTCTCTCATGCACGGGCTGTTTCTCAATCTTCTCCCGGTCAGTTTTCAGTTTCCGGTCAGCTCCTTTGGGCTACAGGAGGGTGACAAGAAAACCTCAGAGGCCTTCTTTACCTGCCCACTTCTCATTACAGGAGGGGTTCTGAGAAAGAGACCAAGCCCCATCCCTCTGTGCACGGAGAATGAAACAGTCCCAAAGAGGGGAACCGCAGGCTGAGGGTCCGCCGCAAAGCAGAGCCAGATCCACACAGCCAGCAAGGCAGGGTGACAGCCCTGAGAGGGAGGGGACAGGGCCCCCGTGCTGCATGTACCTTAAACACCTTGATGAGGCAGCCAGCTGAATGCAGGTGCTCCGGGGAAAGCTCCTTGTCACTGGGCTTGAAAGTGTCGATCTGAAGGCGGAAGGGAACACCTTTCTCTCCACCTTTCTTCCTAGGAGTGAACTCAGTGCTGATGCAGTGAACCTGTGGTGGAAAAGAAGGGTGACTCCAGGTCCCACCCACATTCAAGGGATCTCACCTGAAAGCTGTTACCTGTCTGTCACCTGTCAGCCATTAATCACAGCAACTTCCCACCCCCAACCAGTGTCTATTCTTGAAGCATAACTTTTTTTTTAAGGGGAACAATTTTTTCCAGCTTTACTGAGATATATTTGACATATAACATTGTGTATGTTTAAGGTTTGCAGTGTGTTGATATGGTACATTTATATATTGGAAAATGATTACCACCCACCATAGCATTAGCTGCTAACACCTCCATCACAGAAACACCCCATCACATAATTACTCTTTTTTTGGTGGTGAGATCATTTAAGATCTACTTTCTTCTTAAAATATAACTTTATTAGATTCTTTCCCTTGTTCAAAATCCCTCAGCAGCTCCCCAGGGTTATGAGATGAGAAGCAAAGTCCCTGACCCTGGCTGGCATTCAAGCATCTTAAAGAGTCAAGTCAAGCTTTTCTGCACAGCTGCTCTCTCTCCCCCATCAATGAACCCACTGACCTACCGATCCAGCCTAATCATCACCTCAATACACCTGCATAGCTTTTTCTCTACCGGGAAAGCTCTCTCTGCTCCATCTGAGCCAATACACCCCATTCCAGGGTAGGGTTGCCAGTTAAGATACAGGATGCCCAGTTAAATCTGAATTTCTGTTAAAAAACAAATAATTTTTTAGTATCAGTATTCCCAAGTATTGCATCATGGGACATACTGATACTAAAAAAAAAAAAAAATTCTTTAGCTAAAATTCAAATTTAACTGAGTGTCCTGTATTTTATTTGCTAAATCTAGCAGTCTACTCCAGGAAGCCTTCCTGACCTGCACACCCACTGTAGCCCTCCCAAAATCTTGTGAAGAACAGGTAAAGGCTGGGAAGCGGAGGCTCACAGAGATCATGTGACCTGGGCAAGGTCCATGCCAGGAAGTGGTGGAACTGAAATTGTGCCACATCCACCTGACTCCAAGTCCAGATGCTTAGACTATAGTGGACACTCAAAATAGGGACTTACAGGTGAGTTTTGACAATATTGTTCGATTATAAAAGGAAATCTTTCAGCATAGAAAATATGGAGAACGCTGAAAAAGTATAAAGAAGAATACAAGCATTTCCCATCACCCCACCTCTCAGAGATAATACTGTTAACATTCAAGTATTGTTTCTTCCTATCTTTTCTCTGGGCAAGGAAAGAAAAACCCACAACTTTTGTATACACACACACTTTTATTTTTACAAAATAGAAATCAAACTTTAAATACAAGTCTATATTCTGCCTTTACTTATGGGAAAGCAGTTTCTCTTGTCATGAAATATTTCTCAGAGACATCATTTTAATGGCTACACAATTTCCATTATAAACCTGTACTAAACACTTATTTCAAAGTCAATCCTCTTCTGATGGACATCTGATTATTTAAAATCTTTTAATATATAAAGCGACACTGGCATGAATAGCTGGTAAATATATCTCTGTGTACTTATTGAACACTGCGATAGCGGAACTACTGGGTAAATGAGTATGAACATTAAATTTAATAAAATTTGCCCACGTGCCACATACCTACAGAATGGGTGCACCAATTTGCATTCTCAGGATATGAGGGTGTCTGTTTCTCCAAACCTTACCAATAACAGTTTTTTTAAAGTCTTTGCCAGTTATATATATATATATACACACACACACACACACACACACACACATATATAATTTTTATTAGCATTATTAGCATTTTATATAACACATTATATGTCATACGTGGCAACTATTTTTCCCATTTGATGCCTCCTTTTAATTTTGCCTGTGTATTGCAGACCGTTACTTTTTATGAAGCTAAATTCTGTCCTATGTTTTGTAATTTCTCCCATTGCCTTAATGTTTAACAAGTCCTTGCCTTTGGTGAGACTCGATCAACATTTATCCATCTTTTTTTCCTCAAGGTGTTTCTAGAAGTGGTTCATTCTTATCACGCCCCCCATCACCACCCAAAATCACCTTCCTTTCCCACTTAGGCTGCTGCTACCCACATCTGAGCTCCAGCCTCCTCCCTGTCTCAGCTTCAGACTCACCTGCAGAAAGAGGGAGGTCCTCTTGGCCGGGTCCCAGTAAAACTCCACCGTGTTGAGTTGTGAGGGTAGCACTTGGGGTTCTATCACCCCCACGGACAGTGGCACATCTGCAGGCACAGGGTTGCAGGCAGGGAGTCGGGCTCAGCCCTCCCCATCCACAAGGGCCTCTAAGATAGAAAGCAGCCCTGAAGGGTCCCTGGTCCCTCCCCAGTCACCTATGTCCAGGATGCGGTCCCCAGGCCGGCTCCACCTCCACCCATCCAGCTGCTGCTGCTCCGTGTACTGCAGGCGCCGGTCGTGGAAAACCACACGCACCACACTCTGCGGGCACAGGAGGGCGCCTGGGCATTTGGGAACCAGTTCCCACACCTGGGGCAGGCCAACCTTTCCAGCCTCTCCCCCACCTTGCTTCCCACCCTCCAGGGGCAGAAGGACTTAGAATCACTAGATCCGTGTCCAGATGCCACCTGCCACTCACAAGCTGTGAAACTGAGGAAGTAACCTAGAGCCTCAGTCTCCTCATCTGTAAAATGGAGGCGTTAATCCCTTCCCACTCGTAGTCACTCTACCCATTTCTTTTCTTCGCTGCACTTATCAGTTTGCAATTTGTAAGTCAGATTGTAATTGCATATATTAATAATTCGTGTAATTACACGTTTGTCTCACTCAGCAGAATGCAAGCCCCCTGAGGAAGGAAACTGCATCTGTCTCTTTACCCCTGAACCTCTAGCTCATTGAACAGTTTCTGGCAAAGAACTGGAGCTAAATACTTTTTTTTTTTTTTTTTTTTTGAGAAAGAAGGAATCATGTGTGTGAATAATGCTATGTCAATGTATTTCTAAGTCCTGGTTCTGCTACTTACTGGCTCTGTGTCCTTGAGAAAATACTTAACCTCACTGTGCCTGTTTCCTCAACAATTCCTGCCCACCACTGAGCTATTGTGAAGGTCAGATTGAAAGGTGGACCTGAGAGGCTTCTACTTGACAATGACATCATAGTGATGACATTGGCTTCCTGCCCAGAGGGATAGTCATAGCCAGCTTTTGCCAATTCTGGAAGGGATGCACCTACCTTCAGCAGCCGGGGCCCCTGTGTGGCATCGCCCAGTTTGGGGTTGCAGAGCATCCTCACCTCATAGGACTGGCCTGGGAGAGATTAAGGGGATGTGTGAGCCCCACTCTGAGGGGCAGAGATGCTGCCTGCCACCCCCAGCCTGCCCTGGGCCCAGCCTCCAGAGCTTGCTGCCTCGCTAGCCCCTCTCCTTCCCCAGGCCCAGCTCACCCTGGTTCAGGTAGGTGAGGGTCTCCTCCTGCTGCTTCACAGCTGGCGAGGTAGCTGCACAGAGCACGTACTGGAAGGCGGGGCAGGGCGGTTCCGCACGGGGGATGTTGGGCGGCTCTTCCTGCTTCAGGTAGGGCAAGGGCAAGGCCTCCCTGCCAGGGAGAGGAGGGCACTGCTGGCTTCCTGCCCTGTCCACCCCATCCTCTAAGAGGCTTTGACTCTTTCTGCCAGGTTCTCCCTTCAGGGAGCCCACAGTTTGCTGTAGCAGGCACCCCTGCAGCAGCCAGGGCCTAAGGGGCCCCTGTTCAGCTCCTCTGGCCTCCAGCAGACCTCCCTTAAGGTACCAATCCCAGATACTACCAAACATTTGCAAACATCTGCTATCAATTACTTGTTTGCACCCTCAGGACTTGCCTGACACCCAGTGAATGCCCACCACAAGTGTCCTGAGTGGGTGGGTGGTCAGGATGTTTTGAGATGTCCTGGGACCCACTGAACTCCAGGTACATTTGACCACTTCCCCACCCCCAGAGGAACTCAAGATCGGGAGGCCCATAACCTTTCACTTGAAACAGAGGGCCCTGCCACGTCCATCTCAACTCAGAGCAGGGCCTTCCTCAGGGACTGTGGGAAGGGGATGTGGCCCTTACCTGAGCAAGCTGCTTGGTGGCCCGGGGTAAAGTTCCCCGGGGCTGGGCCACAGGTGCTCCGGCTGGCTGTGCCAAAACAGCATCTTGGAAAAAGAGCAGGACCAGCTGTGTCACAGAAAGCTCAGCACCGGGTTGAGCTGGACCCACTGGGCCATCCACCCGGGGCCTCGGGCTTTATGTACAAGAGCATAGCCCCAAAAGGGTGGGGCAAGGCCTCAGCCTCTTATTGGCTGAGCAACCGGGGCTCTAGGAAACTCAGGACCTATTAGGCAGCCCAAGCTGAGGGGAATCAAGAAATGGCATCCCTAGGGCTCCCCACCAATCATTAACTCAAAGGGGAAGTGGTGGTGCAGCAAAACAAGTCACCGGGACGGACATCCACTGCCCCACCATTCCCCCAGAGGCCCAGAACAATGAGGGGCACCCTCAGGCTAAAAGATTGGCCCCAGATCCATAAGCCACGTATAGAGTCCTAGAGACCTACGGGCCCAGACCCCTCACAGGACCCCATGGGGGGAGGGTGGACGGGAAGAGCGACAAACAACATCACATGGACCGACAAAGGGCCTTTGCTCCCCCTGGCCTCCTTCCTTGTCTCTACCCCGCCCCCATACACACAGGTGCAGTGATGGCCTGACACCTGTCCTGTCGCTGGGGGCTACCTGGCTAGGGGACTGGAGTTTACAGAACATAGTCCAGCTTGCTGTGGAAACAACTCGGGGGGTGGTGCTGGGAGAGAGAGCGTGCCTGTGAGGAGGAGGGGGTGGGCCCGGGAGAGCCCCCCTCCCAGGGAGGTAGAAGGAGAGGAGCTCCAGCTGGGCTGGTTTCTCTGCCCCTCCTCTGCCCTGGGGCTTGGGGTGCACTGTGTTTATGGACAAATACAGTCTGCCTGGGGGACGACCCCCTTCCCCAGGCTCAGCCCCTGTTGTCACTGTACACAGTCAGTTCAGGGGCCCCCCTGCCCCACCCCCCACTACTGTGTTGGGTGTAAATAGATAAGGGCCTTGCAGAGAGCACAGATGGGGCTCTAAAGATGCAGCTTGACCTCATGTGACCCTACCTATCTAGGCTTTGTGATTCTGGGGACCTTCCTTGCAGGGAGAGGGAAAACCAAAGAGTATGCCCCCACACACAATGGGCAGGGTACCTCCAGGTACCTTGGCCCTTGGTCTTCTCTCATGAAGCCAGACAAAAGGAGGAAAAGGGGATGGGAACCTTCCTGACAATGGGGGCCAAAGAAACCTGAGTCCCCAAGGTCTGCAGTAAGACCCCCAAGACTTCAAGACTCACCCATTGCCCAAAGCTGGATCCAAGGTCAGGAGGTCCCCCATGGGACCCTGCAAGGTTGGACAGAGCAAGATCCCAGGAAGGCCAGGGGAAGGGGAGTAGGAGGGGTCCAGAGGGAGGGCTTGGCCCTGGCCTCGGGGGAGCAGGGTGTAGGGGTGACAGTGGGGCAGAGGGGATGGGCAGGTGGGGGGGCGGGGCTTGTTATGCTTGCTATGGAGGATGGAGGTGGAAAAGGTGGAGGCTGGCACGGGCCCCCTTCGAGGACACCAGTGGAGGGGACTCCAGCTCCATAAGCCAGTCCCACCCCCTACACCGCCCCCCAGCCTGTCCTCTACCTCCAAAGCCGTCTGTACCCTCCCCCTTCCCCCTCTGAGCGCCCCCTCTCTCCTACTCATATTTGGGGTCCAGAGGGAGGGCTTGGCCCTGGCCTCGGGGGAGCAGGGTGTAGGGGTGACAGTGGGGCAGAGGGGATGGGCAGGTGGGGGGGCGGGGCTTGTTATGCTTGCTATGGAGGATGGAGGTGGAAAAGGTGGAGGCTGGCACGGGCCCCCTTCGAGGACACCAGTGGAGGGGACTCCAGCTCCATAAGCCAGTCCCACCCCCTACACCGCCCCCCAGCCTGTCCTCTACCTCCAAAGCCGTCTGTACCCTCCCCCTTCCCCCTCTGAGCGCCCCCTCTCTCCTACTCATATTT